CCGATTGATGTGCGATGGCTGATGTCGGTCCACGTGAAGCTGCCAGAATATGTGGTGTAGACTGAGTCATTGATTCATGCATATACTTAGGGGTGTGTTCGACCATTGTAGTTCGCAGTGATCGGTCGGCAGCCTAGTATTTTCTTTGTAAACAATTTTTTATACGCTGTGATAAGCTGCATTGTTGACTTCCGTTTGTAAGGCGGAGAGATACCCGATGCATAGGTGCTTAAGTTTGGTTTCTTGTCCGATTATCAAAACGTACAAAGGATTTCGGATAACCATTCTCCTGTAATGCGCTATATTTATTTTCCTGTTCGTTTAGTATCGATTCCTCTGTGCGCATTTTCTCATCCTATGGAACGGCATTCGAACTAGAACTCTCTTGTGATTCATTGGTGAGAAACTATTGGAATGAAGGTATTGTTCGAACCAAGTTTTCTTTCATAAGGTTCAGCGTTGAATAGAACTATGGCCTTTCCGCGCTATTAAAATATCAGGGAAATATAGCGAGTTTTCCTACTCTACTTCTCAGGGGAATTTCAATTTACGGTGCGATGTATTAAATTCACCCAATAGTATATCAATATCTTCTGGCTGATTGAAGATGATGAAAACATCGACACCGTATCTTTTATATAAATAGCTTGCTTGATTATCTCATCCAACAAATAAAATAAAAATATTGAACTGGACAGAACCAAATGGTTCACCCACTGCTACAGTCTGTCTGTCGAAATGATGTTCCTTGAAATTAGAAACGCACGTTTTCAGTGCACAGTAATATAAGAGGTTTCAAAGTAGCGGAGATATGACAAGATTGATGTTTTCTCGTGTCTGCAGTCTCCTGTAGATAGACATTGGTGAATAATGACGTGACGTTAAATGACACATTGTTTTACCAGACAGATTCAAACTGAACAAAATATCACAAAGTTGGAAAATGTACCGTAGTGTATGATTACCGAAGCGTTTGCATACTCACTTAAGGAATTCAACGAGTTAATTTGTGCCAGGATGAGTTTTGAATGGATTATACGGACTGTAAAGGAACAGCTGGCTTATGAGGCTTTGGTATCCCGTATGGAATCGGTGTACAGTAGACAATAGGTTTTGATTTTTTCATTTGTTTCTCAGTGGTGGAACCATTTAGCGTGCGTTGTGATCTAAAGCCTTTTTAGGATAACTTTTGTATGCATTGCTCCCATTGAACGTTCAATATCAATGCTCGATGCACACACAAACGCGCACATACAGACATGCCAACATACGTACATGGCCCGGAACTAACTCGTATGTGACCTTGGTTACAGCGACCAATCGGATTGCACCATGTGTCTGTTTGTTATTGATTGGCTGGCTGCTGATGACTTGAACGGTCAGTACCGGCTGATGGCATGCTTTGGTTTTGTAGATGAATCATGATGCTGTCAGTCTGTGAATAATGAAAAGGATTTACTTCCATGCATATTACGACTTCTATTGAATACAACATTTGGCGCGTCGGATATTTGCTTCTCCATCTATTGCGCGTTATCCGGACCGATGTCTGGTTTCATATTGTACTTATTCTCTAGGATTCCCATCACCGTATTCAGCCCTTTCCCTGATAACTACGCGATGCCCCTTGTCAGGTTTTGGCATTAACATATTTGGATTGCTCCACAGTAGTTTGTGCTCTGGATTTCTTTCCTGTTTCACCATGCAATCTTATTGAACGGGGTCGTTGAGGGAGCTGCGTGTGGGGTCTACCACAAGTTTGGCTTTAAACCAACTCAGGTAATCCTCACTTGATGAAGGCAACTGTAGTATTCGGAATAGGAATC